GAATGAGAAGGAAAAGGTTCTGATTGAGGGCTCCATCAACTCCGTCCGGGTCAGCATCGCAGTGAAACAGGTAGGTTCACCATGGGAGAACCTACAGCTGGGAGCTCTCTTCCAAGCTCGAGGCCCCGTCTGAGACATCAGTGAGCAAGGTTCGGGAGGTAGAAAGCTGGGCACTGTTCCCTTGAACATTCTAAGGACGTGCCTTGTCAAACTCGGCAGATTGGTAAGACAAAAAAGGAAAGTCAACCCCATCTTATAGACCTTGGCCCGGATTAGAAGTCAGAAACTTAGCAGTCATGGCATGTGACCAGTTCGGTGTCTTGTCATAGAGCAATTCAGGAATGAGGAGAAGTCCAGGGCAGACAAATCAGCAGTACTAGTTTGATACCGATAGTCTCTGAAACGGAGACCTCGTTTAAAAAACAAAGCGCCGTTTCTTGGATGTTTCCCCAGGCATCGGGTCTGCTATTTCCGTTTCCTCTGTAATTTGGCCATATTCGTGTGCCCTCTGGATGATTATTTACTTAGTAGACTTCTCTAAATTGATTTGTTGTACTTAAATTTGTTTGAAAAGAACCTTTTTGCCATATAAGGGAAAATATTATCACTTGCCATTATAGAAGGTAGATCTAAAAGTAAATAATAATTGAAAAAAATAATGTTATCAAACTTAAACTAAATACTGTTGCCTACCGAAAGCTCTAATCCTGGGGCCTATTTTCTTTGTTAAAAAAGACTAAGACGTATTAAGAGGTGATAAGGACACTTACAACATTCAACTGTAAAATTCTCTTTCTTCTTTTAAAATTTGCCTGAGGGCACATGTACTCACTGTAGGGAGAGACAGAGACAAAAAGAAAGCATCCCCATGGGGAACGGTCACAGTGCAATCCCCTCTCCTCCATTTCTTCCTCCTTTTAGGATTTTGGGCACACATACACACACACCCATCGTGTTTCTTAAGCCACCAGGTCTAGGACTCAAGTGGCCAATGGGCCATGTGGGATCCAGCCATAGCACACCACAAACCGGCCCAGAATTGTCTTTCAGAAGATCAGAGGAGAAACTTCTGGGTGGTGGGGGTTGTTGATGTTTGTGTCACTAAAGCAGAGCCCATGAGAAGTTGTCCCAGAGCCACATGCTCTGGGAAATGCAGCACTAGTGAGATGAGAAGGGGAAAGGCAGCTTCGAGTAGGTGTGGGTCCGAAAGAACTGATCAGAGACCCTCGGTCGTCAGATGATTACTCCTCTGGAATGGGTGGAAACAAGATCATTTTCTAACGCCTCATTTAACTGGAGCGGTCCTCCACGATTGAGAATTGAGGTTGTTACTGCTCCAGGCCCAATCCCCACTGCCTCTGGCCAGTCTGGGGAAAACCAGGGCTTTTTTGGCCAGGCTGTCAACCTTAGGGAAACATGTTTCTCCTTTGCTCTCACCAGGCCGATGAGATTGAGAAAATTTTATGTCACAAGTTCATGCGCTTCATGATGATGCGAGCAGAGAATTTCTTCATTCTTCGAAGGAAACCGGTGGAGGTGAGACCCTGTGGTCTATGTTCATAATATTTAGGATTCTATCACTGAATGGCCTGGAATTGTTTCTAGAACGGAGATTTCGGCTGCTCCAGCTACAGGGTACCCACAGCCTGAGTTGAGATCAGGCCTTTATCCCAGCTAGAGCACAGATGAGAGGATTAGAAGTTTAGAGTTTGGTCTGCCTTAGTCATAGACAGAGCAGACAAGATAGACACGTGGTTCATCTTTCCAGAGTCTGGAGTCTAGCAGCTGGAAGCACGAGTCAGAAACCCTTTCCAAGCTCTGCCACCACCTGAATCCTAGTCTCTCAAAGCCAGAGTTGACTTTGGATCAATTGTTACCTCACTGTGTGCTTTTTAAATATATTTTTTAAGTGTATTCATTTCTTCCATAAGTAGAGAGAACCTTTAACAGGACCCTGACTCCACAGCCCAGCCTCGGCTAGCCCAGATCATGGGCATGTGTGTACCCCGTGTATGTATCCAGCTCTCTGGGTGCAAACCTGGAGTCTTCCCATGTGGGTCAGTCCTGCAGAGCATTGCATTTTAGTGCGGCATCCCCCTCCCAGCCCCCGACACTGTATTTGAGTCCTTCCCATAGGCTCCCTGCCAGATTGATTTACAGTATTCGCAATGACCAGGCAGTTAAGCAGAGCAGCACGCGCCATCGTCAGACCCGTCAGCTGTGTTGACCACAGTCTTCCTCATCCCGAGCCGAATTCTGTCTCCTCACCTAGGATTTCATCTCTGGGACACCTCCAGGATAAACAAAATTGCTCCTCCTGACACAGCCCTCCAGCAATAAAAGACCTCAGTCCCACTCCTTTCATCTTCTGCATCTCTTCTCTGGACTCAGCATTCCCTTTTATTTGGTTGGATTCAAGTCCCTTTACTCTCCCTCAGTTCACCGAACCATTTGTGCAGCAGATTGTCTTCCAGAGATGTCTGATATTCACAAAATTCCCAGCTGGGTTTAGGTGGAGGGGATCATCAGCTAGGAGCACTCATGGTGCTAACTCAATTTCTTTTCCTTCTCTAGGGCTATGACATCAGTTTTCTGATCACCAACTTCCACACAGAGCAGATGTACAAACACAAGTTGGTGGACTTTGTGATCCACTTCATGGAGGAGATCGACAAGGAGATCAGTGAGATGAAGCTGTCAGTGAACGCCCGTGCTCGCATTGTGGCTGAGGAGTTCCTTAAGAATGTAAGTCGAGGGAACCAGCAGTTAGCGTAATGGCTATGTTGCTGGACTCCCATGTAGTCGACCGCGGTTCGTGTCCCGGACCCGGTGGCTTAAAACTCACGCCGGGCGCGTGTGCGTGCGTGCCCAAGATCCCGAGAGGAGAATGGAGGAGAAGGGATTGCGGCGTGACCATCCCCCCTGGGGGGTGATTTCTTGCTTTCTGTCTCTATGTCTGGCGAGCGCACGTGCCCTACAGTGAAAATCTCTCCAAAAAAAAAGAATGTAAGTCGAGGATCTTCCTGTCTCCTTCCAGAGGTGGAATGAGCCATGGGTTTGGTTTGAGATTAGCATCTTAGGGTAAAGTGGTGCCAACAGGGTGCTCACATTTCCTGAGACCCCCTAGGACCTCTGGTGCTATGGGATTAGAAGACCCAAGGTTCATCCTTTGAGAACTAAAAGGTGTAGTTCTGGGATGTCTCTTAGTCCCTCATAGGGACCTTCTCAAAATGTATACAAAATTCTTAGCTACATAAGGGACCTTCAAAAAGCTTTTGGAAGATACATATTAGGAATAAAACTATGCATGGATTTTTCTCTTTTTTTAAAATTTATTTATTATCATTATTATTTTTAATTTGACCAGAGATAGACAGAGAGAGAGAGATTATGAGAAAGCAAGTCACCAAGTCCAGGACTCAAACTGTGGTTGGCTATGTGGGAGTCCGGCACCCCAACCACCACGCCACCTGCCAGCCCCACTGTGCATGGATTTCAAAAATTTTTGCAGCAAACTAAACTTGTACTTCAATTTTATTTCCCCACAAACCTTTATTTTATTTTGTTTTATTTATGTTTACGTGCACATGTACCCCAGCAGGGTCTGGTCGTACGCAGTCTTATTTTCAATTCTCCATCCTGCCAAGACCCTGGTCACACATGTATGTGCCAGCAAAGAGCTGACAAGACCAGGACTTGAACCCTGGTCAGCCGGGTGGGATCCAGCTTTATGCAATACCCACCTGCTATGCCAAAAGGACTGGTCCTTCTGTGAACTTTTTGAAGTACCCTTGAATTAACTTCAGACCTCAAGTGTGGCAAGTGATGTCCACATGTAAATTTTCTAAGGATATATATATAGGACAGTTAATCATGGTGTAATTCCACTTCTCAAACAGACCTAAATATTTCCCTTCAGTGTCTGTTGCTTGGTCTTAGAGTCATGACTCCTTCAACCTGTTTTCCATCACTGTCATGACTCTAGTCAGCCAGGTCCTCTTACATTGTGCTTTTCTCATCTAAAGGACTGCAGTCCTCAGAAGAGGAGGAACTGTTTACACTGATGAACTGATGGCATAGTTGTTTAGCTATTCGGGACGCGCCTCCTTACTTCCCCCCCTTCTTCCAAACAGTCTTTGGTATGTTGACATGTTCCACTCAGAATTGTCTGTGATCCCTACTGTTTACTTCTCCCAGTGCATACAGACCCAGCCCAGAAGGAGCTCAGATTCCTAAAATGGAAATTAGCCTGCCTCCCCTGGGGTTTGATTAGCCTGAGGGAGGCCAGCATACAAAGCAGCCGCAGTGTGTGCAAGGGCGTGTGGTGGTTCAGTGCACACAGGCTGTTCAGCCAGACGACCTGGGCATGTGAATATGGGCCCCACTGCCACTGAACCTCAGTGAGGCCATCCTTTCCTCAGCTGTGAAAATAGGGGGCTCCTAGTTGATCTTCACTTTTCTGAGTGGTTGAGCATGAAATGAGATCTTGTTTGTAAAATGTACCATGGAGTAATTAGTAACTAGATTTCCATACACAAGTGTTTTTTTGTTGTTGTTTTAAACAGATTTTTGCTGTAGAGTGCATGTGCTTGCTGGAGAGACAGAAAGTGAGAAATCATCCCCCAGGGGAGATGGGCATGCCAAAATCCCTTCTCCTCTTTGGATTTTGGGCATGCATGCATACCTGGTGTGAGTTTTAAGTCCACCAGGTCTGGGACTCAAACTAAGGTCAACCATGTGGGAGTTCAGCGCCATAACCATTAGGCCATCTGCTTGTCCCAGCACCAGTGTTTTATGGCCAGAATAGGAGGGGGCCTCTAGATTCAACTGAGGGAAAATAGCTCTTGTCCCAATTTGATAGTTGGCTCATTCCTTCAGTAGTCATCTAGTTATTTCTTTCCTTCCTTTTTTAAGAATTATTTATTTATTTTTTAAAATTCATTCTTTTTTTTTTTTAAATTTTTTTTGAGAGAGATTTTGCAATAGAACGAGTGCACTCACCAGAAAGAGAGACAGAAAGCGAGAAATCTCTCCCCTGGGGGATGGCCACACTGCAATGCCTTCTCCATTCTCCTCTCAGGATCTTGAGCACGCACACACACATGCCTGGCCTGAGTTTAAGCTGTTGGGTTTAGGACCCAAACTGCAGTTAACCACATGGGAGTTCAGCGACATAGCCATTACACCAACTGCTGGTCCCCATTCATTTATTTTAGTTTCACTAGAGAGAGAGAAAGTGAGAAAGCAAGCCATCAGGTCCAGGACTCAAACTGTCATCAGACATGAGGGAGTGCCCAGAGCCTTAGCCACCATGCCACCTACTGGTCCCCCATCTAGGTATTTCTGATAAATACGTCTTTGCAGCATTATACAGCCAAAAAAACTTACATGTCTTGTTAATGGTCAAAACAACCTTTGAGTCGGGTGTTATCACCATTTTACAAATGAGGAGACGGGCTTTGGATGTAAAACCACCCACCCAAAGTCCTTCAGCCAGAAGGTGGAGGTACTAGAAAATGGAGCCACTTTTTTGGGGGGGAGAGGTTTTTGCTATAGGGCACGTGTGCTTATCAGAAAGACAGAGAGACAGAAAGTGAGAAATAACCCCCCCCCGGGGGGGTTGGCCACACCACAATCCCTTCTCCTCCATTCTCCTCTCGGATCTTGGGCATGCACGCACACATGCCCAGCATGAGTTTAAGCCACCAGGTCCGGGACTCGAACCATGGTTGGCTACATGGGAGTTCAGTGACATAGCTAACTGCTGGTCCCTGGAGCTGGATTTTTCTGACCCAGAGATTTAGGTTAGGCCCCCAGCATCTGATGGGCCACAAACTCCGTGGCATGCAGAGGTTGAGCAGGTGGTCCCTGTGTGTGATGTGGGCAGATGGGGACCTGGTGAGTGCACCCCTCCTGAGGAATATGCCACCACAGCTCCAGCCCATCATGGCTTCGTCTTCTGACTTTTCAAAAGAATCCACAAATCTGGATTTGTATGTGACATTGCCTGTACTTACATTTGGTAACTAATTTATACTCTTTTTAAACACCGCGTGGTCCAACCTATCTTTGAGTTGGATTTAGCCATTGATTCACAACCTCTGAACCGTAAAATAATACAGATTGTGTTTGCTACTTGGGAGATACTTGAAGGCAAAAAGTATTTCATGGGCCTCTCCTGGTTGGAGGATCACCAGAACTTGACGTTAGCAGAACCTGGGTCCTCCCTTTGGCCGTCTGAATCCCCAGGTCCCTTGCATGTGAGCCCTCATGTCTAAAGAAGGCAACCTGAGTTCACTACGCAAACATAGGACTTCTTAGCAGCCCCCGTCACATGGCCCAGGGAAGCTGTGGAAAGCCCTCCTCGGCTAGTTTTTCTGCCTTGTCTACTGCTAGTTTAAGGCCGGTGCCCATAGGTCACTACTGGGTGCTAGGTGAACTAGAAGGAATGCCATAGGTTGTCCTGGGACTCACTCTTGCCCCAGATCCTAGCGCAGTGGTAGCTTTCCGGAGAGCCCACCTCCCCAGAGCAGGCCCACCAGGATACAGTGTACACGGTAATAACCATCGTTCCCTGCCTCTTGGTTCTCTTGACAGTTTTAAACCATCTGGCTGGATCTCGTGGCCTTCCCTCTCAGCCTCCCCGTCTCTGTGAAGGCGTCCTGGAGTCACTCCTCAGAGCAGCGGCAGCAGCAGCCGGGAGCTGGGTGGGCTGGGCATTTGATGTGGGAGGGGGGTGGTGTGCTTGCTAGCTGGGCAAGAAAGCAGCAATGGACCTGCCCCAAGGCCGCACGTGCCTGGTCAGGCTGGCTTCTGATGTTCAGTCCCCTGGGCTGGGACAGATTTTTTTTTTAAAGTCTTGAAATTTAAAACTGTGCTTGTAAGAGACAGTAACCTTTTGTCTTTTTTTTTTTTTTTTTTTTTTTAAACACCCCCACCTACAGGGTACGTGCATGTCTGTGACTGGTCCCAGTGATTGTATCTTATTGGTCGCTGTGGGTCTGGGCGGGCCTGGAGCCAGAGGCGACTACTGTTCCTCCCCCGTGCCACCCCAGGTGGGGAGGGAGGGAGGTTTCAGACTCCAGTTCTTCTCCCTTATCCTTTTATTCCCAAGCCTCCTTGGGCCTGGTGGAAGCAGTGGGGACTTCTGCCAGGTTCCTGAGCTCTGCCTGAAGATGGCCACCAGCACTGGTTTGGGACAAGGGCTGAATCGGTGACCGCCGGTCATGCCTAGGAGCTGGGGCCCAAAACCAGGTAGCCACTGGCCGCCGGGTCTCCCAGCTGAGAGGGGCCACGGCCTCGCCTTGTCTGTCAGTGCAGTGCCTGCGCTAGAGGTGGAGAGGTGAGTCCTCCAGAGCTTCCGGCCGGCCCTCTCCCGCCTGCTCTGGCTCCTCTGCTCCCACGCTCGCTGTCCCTCTTCTGATTCTGGTGGATCCTCCCTCCCCGATTAAAGTCTCTTCTTGCCCCTTTGGGGCTGCATGAGGTCTGTGCTGTGCGTGTGTCTGTGACAGGAGGGGCAGAGTGACCATTTCCCCTGAGACCATGTAGCTAGTGCCTGGGCTCGGAGCTCCCCAGCAGGTGCAGTCTCGGGTGGGGTGTTCTCACCGTCATCCCCGCTACCACCCCAGCCTGGAGAACTTTGTTGCAGTCTGTGCACCGTGCACTTCTGAAACTGCTCTGGTCTACAGAGCTTTGGTTCTTTTTCACATAATCTCATTTGGGCTAAGAGGTAACATCAGACCGTGATCTCATTTCCTGAAACCGAGGTTCCATGAGACAGTAGCTTGCCCCAAATCTCTCAGCCAGTGAGCAGCAGGGCAGACCTACCTGTGCTAGAGCAGTAATCACCATCCATGTGTGGTTATTTAAATGATTATAGTAGGGGGCTAGCAGGTGGCACGGAGGTTAGAGTGGCTGGATCCCACATGGCCAACTGCTTGGTTCAAGTCCTGGACCTGGTGGCTTGAAATTCTTGTCGGATGTGTATGTGTACATGCCATAAATCCCAAGAGGAGATTGAAGAAGGGATTGCTGCATGGCCATCCCTCCCCAGGAGGTAATTTTTTTTTTTTCTCTGTGTCTCTCTGGCAAGCACCTTTGCCCTGTAGCAGACTAAAAATAAATAAACTATTAGAAGTTAAAAATTCAGTTTAGGGACAAGCAGTTAGCATAATGGCTATGTCGCTGGACTCTCATGTAGTCGACCGCGGTTCAATTCGCGGTTTAAGCCACTGGACCCCGTGGCTTAAACTCACACCAGGCATGTGTGCATGCGTGCCCAAGATCCTGAGAGGAGAATGGAGAAGGCATTGTAGCGTGGCCAACCCCCACTGAGGGGTGATTTCTCGCTTTCTGTCTCTGGCGAGTGCACGCGCCCTATAGCAAAAAGTGTCTCCAAAAGTAAATAAAAATAAAGATAATAAAAATTCAGTTTGTCAGTTCCACTGGTGACATTTCACAAGCTGAGTAGCTGTGAGTGTCAGAATGTCTGTAGACATTTACATCATCACATGAAGTTGTGTTGGATGGTGTCAGATCTTAGCGATACCTTGTGCTTGAGTCCTTACTCTCGGTACTGCGTATAGGCAAGCCGTTTGTATTCTGCGTCTTAGTTTCTTTTTCTTTTTCTTTTTCCCTTAAAAGGATTGCTTTATTATTGTAGTTACTATTAAAATTTACTGTAGGATACATGCAGTCACCAGAGAGTAAACAGAGAAAGGGAAAGTGAGAAGGCAAGCCACTAGGTCCGGGACTCGAACCACCATCAACCATGTGGGAGTCCAGTGTCTTAACCACCATGCCACCTGCTGGCCCCTGTGCCTTGGTTCCTTTCCTTTTTAAAGAGATTTTTGCTATAGGGCACATGCACTCATCAGAGAGAAAGCAAGGAATCCCCCTTGGGGAATGGGCACACGGCAATCCCTTCATTCTCCTCGGGATTTTAGGCATGCACATACCTGATGTGTTTATAGCCATCAGGCCCAGGACTCGAACTGTGGTCAGCCATGTGGGAGTCCAGCACCTTAGCGACTGTACTACCTGCTAGCGGTTCCTTGTGCCTCGGTTTTTTAGTCTGTAAAGTGAAGAATCTGACACAGTCCTTACCACACAGTAACTGACAGCTGTTCATTCCAGCCGCCCATAGTCTGGGCTGTATGATAACTTCCAGGGTGCTAGGCACGGGGGTGACATCCCTGTCTTGAAGAAACCTGTAGGTCTAGTAAAAGCTAGGTGTGGAAATAGGTGCACAGATGAGTACCCTATTCATTATTGCCAAAAGGGATAGATGAATTTACAAAAGAGGGTGCAGGAAAAGCTTCAAGAAAGATTGGTCTGAGCTTTCAAAAGGGTTTCCTCCAGAAAGCCTTCCTCTTTTGGCCAAAAGAGGTCTTTGGGAAGGGGAGGACAAGGCAGTGTTAAAGGGAGGAGGGGCTGGCATTGGGTGCGGTGTGAACAGATACTATCCCCTTTGTGACATTACCTCTGTGACCTCCCTCTTCCTGCCTTGCTGATCAGGTGTGCCCTCACCCGGGGCACATGGCTGTGTTCTAGCTTTGCAGTGAATGGTGAAGGTGTTGACCGTGAAGCCGGGTTTGTAGGGAATGGCGGCTGATCACTCAACCTCCACAGGACGACGCTGCCTGGGTGAGCCATCCAGAACCTTCATTTGTCAGATCTACACCCAGGGCCCAAAGTCTCTGAAATTGAATTAGCAGGCTGATGAGGACAGACCCAGTGACTCCCACTCAGTCATATTCTGGGGGCAGGCGTCCTGGGAAGCCCAGTGACCATCCAGGGCAGGGTCAGGTGACATGATCCCAGTGGCTGGGGTCTGCTGGACAGGTAGACCCACCTTCACTGTAGGAGCGGATCTTCCCAGTGACTGACGAAGCTGGGTGTTTGGTTCAGGACGATTTCTTTCCTGAACCCTGAAGGGGCACTGCCAAGGTTTGCTCTCAGCTGCCCATCTGATACTTTCACAAGCAGGCAGCCCTTCTGAGTTGTGTGAAAGTGAGGCTTTGGAACCAGACCCGAGTTCCTATGTGGCCTGTGCTGTGTGATTTTGAGGCAAATTATTTAACGTCTTTGAGACCTAGCTATCCTCCCTGTGACTTGTGAAGATAATTCTTTGCCGTTGCCTCAAAAAAAGGCTTATTTATAGTCTTGACCTGGGAACTGCCCTTACTCGATTTCTCCCACAGTCGACTCAAATGACCTGTTTTGCTATCTATTTATTTGGAGAGGTTTGCTACGGGGTGTGTGCGCTCGCCAGAATAACAGAGAGAGACAGAAGGCAACAAATCACCCCCTAAGGGGGATGGCCATGCCTCAATCTCTTGGCCATGCCTCAATCTCTTCTCCATTCTCCTCTCAGGATCTTGCGTGCACATGCACATGCACCTGGTGTGAGTTTAAGCCACCGGGTCCGGGACTCGAACCATGGTCGACTACATGGGAGTCCAGTGACATAACCTTTATGCCACTGCTGGACCCTATTTATTGAGTTTTATTTATTATTTTCCAATTTGCTACAGTGCATGCATACTCATCAGTCAGAAAAAGCAAGCTGCCAGGTCAGAGACTCAAACCATGGTCAGCCATGTGGAAGTCTAGCACCTTAACCACCATGCCACCTGCTGGACCTCAAATGATGTATTTTTCTAAGTTATTGGGGCAGAGGTGCTCTGCACCTTCTTGTCCCCATTTACTGCCCTGCCTCCCTTCTCTCTTCCCTGAAAGCTTATCCAAGCCTTTCTGACAGGCCCTACGATCTGATCTGGGGACCAGCAGATGGTGTAATAGTTATGTTGGTGGACTTCCACATGGTCGACCATGGCTTGAGTCCTGCACCTGGCGGCAGAAAACTCAAGCTGAGTGTGTGTGTGTGTGTGTGGGCACGTGTGCGTGTGCGCTCGCTCCAAAAATCTGGAGAGGAGACTGGAAGAGAAGGGTTTGCTGCTTGGCCATGGGGCATGGGGTTGATTTCTGGCCCTCTGTCTCTCCCACAAGTGCACACACCCTATAGCGAAAATCTCTAAAAAAATAAATAAAAATATCTGTTCTGATCTCACCAGGTTCCAGCCACACTGGCTGCCCTTTAGTGCCCCAGAGGCGTTACACCCATGGGGACTGTTGCTCAGTCTGTTTTCCTCTGGCTGGAATGTTTCCCTGGTGGCTCCTGGACGCCTTTGCATTTAAGCCTGGGCTGGACTATCACCTCGGAGAGGATCTATTTGACTGCTTTGTTTTAAGTGTGCCCCCTTCCTGCTTCCAGCTCAGGGCTGGCTCTACAGCTACTTGGTCCTGTCCCTTGCTTTTCGTTTCCCCACACTGGTCTCAGCTCCGTGAGCTCAGAGACCACCCAGCCCTTGGTCAGCACCTAGCCCGGTGCCTTAGCACGTGGTCCTGTATAAATACCGTGGTACGACTCACAGCCCAGAGACCCCAGCACACAGGAAGTGAAAGAGCCATGATATCCCACAAACGGGCGGCCAAGGGCTTTGCCCTTCTACCTTTAGTGGCCCCGCTCACTTAGGGTGTGGGGTAGGGGAGGCCTGGAGGCCGGCCTGTTGGTGGAAGCCCTCCCTGGACTACCCTGGGGTCAAATGCAGTCCCCGAACCCGCCACCCACGGTCCGATTGTGCCCGGGGAATGGTGTCCAAGGCGACATTAAACAGAGGGCGGGGCCTCGGAACTGAGGGCCCTGGTGGGGCCTGGGCAGGGTCCTCCCGGGGGAAGCGGCGGCGGCGCGCGCGCGGAGGGGAGGCGGGCTCAGGGCTCTGGGAGGGCGTGCACGGCGAGGGGCGCATGCAGGGCCCTGGCGCCGCGCTGCTCCGGAGATCTGGGGAGCTGGAGCCCGCGCGCCGGGGCTCGGCGGTCTGGTTCAGCCACGCGAGCGCCCCGGGGGGGCACTGCCTCCGCAGCCGCCCGAGCCGCACACCAGTTCCCCCGTCTCGTGGCCCTGGGTGCGCCACTCTGAGTTCCGGCCGCCCAAGAAGCTGCGGTGGCCCGCGCACGCCTCCGCCCGGCCCGAGGAGGTTCGCGCAGGCGGCAAATGTCGGGCCACCGGCTCCGCCTCTGCGCGCCGCCTACGCGGTGCCTCCGAGAAGCTCGACCAAGGCACCCATGCCCAGGGCACTGCGGACCCCCGCCCCCTCGATCCCCGGCCCGCCCAGGCACTGGATGATCCCCCGCCGTCGGACGGTGAGGCCCAGAGCGCGCGCCCGCCCTGGCCTGCAGACTGGGGGGGTGGGAACAGGGGCGGGGGAA